AATAATTTAAATAACTTAAACAATCAATCGAATAAACTAAATCAATTGTAAGTGAAATACTTAACACAATAAAGAATCAACCTAATATAAAGTAAAATCGTAATATAAAAAATATACAATATAATATAGATGAATCAATTTTAGAATAGCGTAAGAAAGTATGTAATCAAATCACGAAAAATCAGCAATTTTTGAAATATAATTGCATACTTCGCAAATAATAAAGAATTTAAGTAAAATTTTTATAATTATCATTTGAACTTAAGTGATTATTAAGAAAAATCCTTTCATAATATTTGCGTTTTTTTTGTAATTTGTACACAAAGGTAAATTTTGTATTTACTTTATAATTAATTTAAGGGATATTTGAAGTTATCATCTTAAATATTTTGAATCTATTAGTAATTCCTCTTTTATACTAATGGATTTTATAAAAAATAAACATTTTGAAAAAAGATGTATTTATTACAACAATTACTAAATTTTGAACCTTTATAATTATATTCGCTTTAAAAAATCCAAACAAGGATTTGAGTTTGAATATAATTACTATAAATGATAAGGATCTCATTAATTTTTAATTATATTAATTACCTAAAAAAGTTATTTGATATAGTAGAACTAGTATGAATATTTTATATATATATGACTTATTTGTGATTAAGACATAATTATTTGTTAAATTTTACATAAAATTAAAAAAGGAATTATAATATATACTTTGTCAATAGGCATGTAACAATAATGCCAAGAGAAAGAATTTCAATTTATTTTAATTAGAGAAAATTTTAATTCTTATTAAATCCAATAATTTTAATATTTTCTGTGTTGCAGTATTTTAAATGGTAATTACTTAAAATTATGATAATATCATAACAATAATTTAATTAAAAGTGGCTTATCCTATGATATTTATGTGATACTTTATGTATTTATTATCAAATAAATATTGATTGGAATAGACAATAATCCTTAATTATTGGGTGAATATTAAATTTTTTTATTTTACTTTTTAGTAAAAGAATAAGATCAAATAAATTCAATTAAATCCCATTAAATTAGTATTTTAATATCACCAAAAAATTAAATTCCTAAACTTTGGTTTATTTTTTTTCACTAATAATTTTACAGTTAAAGAAGGCAAAATGAATAGAGCAATCCTCAGTATAATCTTAGGATTTGCTTAAACATTGACTCATTTAATGGCTTAATATTTTTGACAAACAATAATCATTCAAAATTCAAATAAAATCATTAAGAGGAAAATTTAATTTTTGGATAAAATTGTTGGCTTCTTAATTATTTCTAGGAATTTTTTGTGGAAATAAGATCTAAGATATATCTTAAGTTTTGGATCCATGTAATTTAATGAAAGATTCAAAATTGAAAATTAAAAATATATCATCTAATATTTAAATTATCCTTCAACATATAGAATTACTATTTTTAATTAATAATTGTATATATTATAAATTACTATTAGATTAGATTACACAATTAAATCAATTATCCAATAAACTTCAAACTTAATCATTCTTTTCAAAGCATTTCAAATCTAAATATTTAGAGTAATCTGATTAAACACAAAAAAGGAAGGAAGTAAAAAAATATAAAATCAAAAATTTTATAGATATTTCTAGGAAGAAATTAATTGTAATCTAAAATCACCAATTTTAGCACTTTATAATGTGTGCAATATAAATATTCAAACTCTTGTTGATAAAAACATTGTAAATTTAATAATCAAAAATTTACATTGAAGTGTTATAATAATTTGTTTTGACTAATAAATAAACTCATTACCCATCACATTTCAAAAGCCATTTACAATGCATATAATTTATACTTCTATATTATTCAATGCCTTATCTAAAAAAGAAATTGGAAGACTAAATTTTAGAAATTAATTTTTTTCAATTTATAATAAAGGTTCTTAATCACAAGTTTATAAGCTTGATAATTTGATTGCTTCAGAAATTCTTATATAATAATTTTAAAAGCGATTAGAATTCGAAAAAGTAAATTATCAAAACTTGGCTATTTAAATTTGATAGATAGATTTCAATCAATAATAAAAGTTTAATTAATAAATGTTTTAATAATAATAATAGTAACATTCAAATCAACAAATCTCATTAAAAATTAGACTTATTACTCTTAAATATAAGCATTATAAAAAAAGTTTTCCTTTTATTTCCTAATTGTGCTCCTAGAACAAAAATACTGTTTTTGAGTAATAACCTAAGGTAGATATTTATTTTGAATAGCTGATGCCTATGGAAAAATTTTGAGTTTTTATTAACAACTAATATGGCATTTCTCAATAATTTTACTTGGACTTTGATCAAATGCCATAAATTTACAACCTAAATCACATTTCAAGAACTATATTTATTAAGCTCTTTGATATTCATCCTCTTTACTAATAAAATCATAATTGAGAATTTCCAAAAAATATTTACAACAAACTAATTAACATCTGAGGTAAAATTTAATTTGAAATTAAACTACTTTTAAATAAATTAAGGATAAAAATATCTTAATTTGGAAGGGATAAAAATAGAATATAGAACTCAAGAACATTAAAATGTTAAATCCATTTTATTTATTCAAGATGTTAATAAGCCAATAAATCAAAAGGGTTTTATTTTTACTCAAGATTGGATATTGAAAAATGTTTAAATCAGGTTACTAATTTTATCAATTCATCAAACATGTAAAAAACTTTATTATTTAATAGTAAGTTAAAGTTAATACTTGAGTATTAAATATTGTAATTATTTATTATTTATAGGGAAATTTAATCTTATTGCAAGTAGTATTGAAGAATTGATGATTATAATATACTAAGGATTAATTTAAAAAGAATACGTATTGTCTTAGGTTGTCTATTTTAATTAATATAAGATAGTTTTAGTTCAGGGATAATGAAATTAATACATAAGAAAAATAAAATTATTAACTAATAACTTAAGTCAGTTATTAAGATATAATGAATAGAATATGAATTAAGTTGCATATATCTAAAGCGAATTAAGTAATCTTAAAAAAGTTATAAAAGAGTTTTAATAATCATTGAAAATAATAATAAACTTAAATAATCAATAGAAAAATAATATAAGCCTGTATTAATGGATAAAAGGTATCCAAAATTAAATATAGATTACTTTGAAACAAAATTTTACTATTCTAAATATGTTAGATAATTGCAAGAATCAGAAAATACCATTTCAAGCTGCTACTGTAAAATTTGGGCAAAATTTTGATCTTATTATTATCTATGATTATTATATTCAATAATCAATTATTAATCTGCTTTCAAATTTCCATGAAAATAAGTCGTATGCAAGCAAAAGGCTTAATTCTAGATAATAAATGATGTATTTATATAATATTAAAACTTAAATAAAAAGTTATAAATAAAAAAATTTCAATAATAATAAAAACATTTATGTGATATTCATGTATTTCATTGGGGTTTTTTTTTACTTTAATAAGGATTGCATTCGATGTCGATCATTCTTTTAATTCTGTCAACTATAAGTTTCATCTGATCAGTCATGCTCTTCTGAACTTTTTTGTATTATTTTCCTGTTGAGTCTTCCACATAGGAAATAATCTTATCAATCTTTTCACACCAGTTCTCGGTCAATGAGAATGAGTGATCCTTTATGTGTTCAAGGTTCCATATATTTATGGTGTTCCTTGCATTTTCTCCATGAATGTTTCCAAAGCTCAAAGTATTTATAACCAGGGATACGTCTAAT